AAAATTAGAAAATTCTATTTAAGTTAGTACATATCTTGATTTTTTTATTGACTCCTTTCAAAAGAGATAAGATCCGGTGAATCGGAAACACTTAATTAAGAATTTTATTTTTTATGGAACAGACATATCAATATGCGTGGATAATACCCTTCGTTCCACTTCCAGTTCCTATGTTAATAGGGGTGGGACTTCTTCTTTTTCCCACGGCAACAAAAAATCTTCGTCGTATGTGGTCCTTTCATAGTATTTTATTGTTAAGTATAGTCATGATTTTTTCGATTGATCTGTCTATTCAGCAAATAAATAGCAGTTCTATCTATCAATATGTATGGTCTTGGATCATCACTAATGATTTTTCTTTAGAATTCGGTTACTTAATTGATCCACTTACTTCTATTATGTCAATATTAATCACTACTGTTGGAATTATGGTTCTTATTTATAGTGATAATTATATGTCTCATGATCAAGGATATGTAAGATTTTTTGCTTATATGAGTTTTTTCAGTACTTCCATGTTGGGATTAGTTACTAGTTCTAATTTGATACAAATTTTTATTTTTTGGGAATTGGTTGGAATATGTTCGTATCTATTAATAGGGTTTTGGTTCACACGACCTGTTGCGGCAAATGCTTGTCAAAAAGCCTTTGTAACTAATCGTGTCGGGGATTTTGGTTTATTATTAGGAATTTTAGGTTTTTATTGGATAACAGGTAGTTTTGAATTTAGGGATTTATTCGAAATATTCAATAACTTGATTTATAATAATGAGGTCAATTTTTTATTTGTTACTTTGTGTGGCGTTCTATTATTTGCCGGTGCAGTTGCTAAATCTGCACAATTCCCCCTTCATGTATGGTTAGCTGATGCCATGGAAGGACCTACTCCTATTTCGGCTCTTATACATGCTGCTACTATGGTAGCAGCGGGAATTTTTCTTGTCGCGCGGCTTTTTCCCCTTTTCATAGTAATACCTTCCCTAATGAATTTAATCTCTTTGGTAGGAATAATAACAGTATTTTTAGGAGCTACTTTAGCTCTTGCTCAAAAAGATATTAAGAGAGGTTTAGCCTATTCCACAATGTCTCAATTAGGTTATATGATGTTAGCTCTAGGTATGGGATCTTATCAAAGTGCTTTATTTCATTTGATTACTCATGCTTATTCGAAAGCCTTATTGTTTTTAGGATCTGGATCCGTTATTCATTCAATGGAAACTCTTGTTGGATATTCTCCAGATAAAAGTCAGAATATGGTTCTTATGGGGGGTTTAACAAAACATGTGCCAATTACCAAAAATGCTTTTTTATTAGGTACACTTTCCCTTTGTGGTATTCCGCCTCTTGCTTGTTTTTGGTCCAAAGATGAAATTCTTCATGATAGTTGGTTGTATTCACCGCTTTTCGCAATAATAGCGTGGTCCACAGCGGGATTAACCGCATTTTATATGTTTCGGATCTATTTACTTACTTTTGAAGGGCATTTAAACGTTCATTTTCAAAATTATAGTGGAAAAAAAAATACTCCATTCTATTCAATATCTCTATGGGGAAAGGGGGATTCGAGAGGGATTAACACAAATTTTCATTTATTAAGTTTATTACGAATGAATAATCAAAATGCTTCTTTGAAAACAAAAAAGACATACCGAATTGATGAGAATGTAAGAAACAGGACACAACCTGTCATGACTATTACCCATTTTGGTAATAAAAAGACTTATTTGTATCCTTATGAATCGGACAATACTATGTTATTCCCTCTACTTCTATTGGTTCTATTTACTTTGTTCGTTGGATTCCTAGGAATTCCTTTCAATCAAAAAGGAGTGGATTTGGATATATTATCCAAATGGTTAACTCCTTCTATAAACCTTTTACATGAAACTTCGAATAATTCGACAAGTTGGTATGAATTTGTCAAAGATGCTGGTTTTTCAGTGAGTATAGCTTATTTAGGAATATTTATAGCGTCCTTTTTATATAAACCTCTTTATTCATCTTTACAAAATTTGGACTTAATTAATTCATTTGTTAAAACAGGTCCTAAGAGAACTCTTTGGGACAAAATAATAAATGTCATATATAGCTGGTCATATAATCGTGGTTACATAGATGCTTTTTATGCAAGATCCTTAACTGGGGGAATAAGGGGCTTGGCTGAATTAACTCATTTTTTTGATAGACGAGTAGTTGATGGAATTACAAATGGAGTTGGTGTTATGAGTTTCTTTGTAGGAGAAGGTATCAAATCTGTAGGGGGCGGGCGCATCTCTTCTTATCTTTTCTTGTATTTATCTTATGTATCAATCTTTTTATTCATTTACTCTTTGTTATTTTTTGAATCTCTAAGAAAAATCTTTTATTTTTAATTTCGAATTTTCGTGATTCCTATTCCGATAAGAAGAAACTTGTTCTTGTTTGTTATAGGATGGCTCTGTAAAGTGAAAGTGAAATTCATCCTTTGTTTTTTCCTTTCCATTCACTCGGATCTCTTCCGTTTCATCGATTTTGTCCGGATCCTCCTTTTCTTCCGAAAAAAGGTAAGGAGAAGGATCTTCTTCAGTGGATCCCTCTAATTCCTGTTTAGTCCCCTTCGTTTCGGAAGTTGTTTCTATTTCTACATCTGTTTCTTCCGCACTTTCCCCCCTTTCTTCCGTTTTTGAGGTTTCTTTCAGTTTCTTAGTAAGAATGGGTGACGGTATTCTCCCTAAATAGTAGACACAGGTAATAAATAAGAGAATACTAAAGATCCGAGCCATAGAATTTCTCAATTCTGACACAAGGTACTTATTAGATCGAATAAGTGCATTCGATCTAATAGAATGATTTTGCCGTATCCAGACTAATACCAATCCAACCCATTTCATGAATAAAATGTGACCAATTAACCAACCAACAAAACTACTTGTTACAAATAACATCTTGTTGTTGCATCGAAACATATAAATGTTGACTAATCTGGCTAACATTGAACTTGGTAAAATGAAATGGTTGAATAATTGAAAAATGAGATTATTCAGGAATACACATTGAACGCTGAGATTACGCATTGAATTTCTGGTAGTAGATCCATAATCAAAAAAGTGTTTGTGATTGTTCCAGAAGAAATGAAACAAAAGATACGGTAGAGCTAGGACAGTTATTGTATGAGGTCTACCCAATGCTAGATGCAGAGGCGCATAATAGATCGATATGAACATCATGAGCTGTCCCGTAATAAAACCAGTTGTTGCTGATACCTTCTTCTCGGTTCCTTCTTCCATAATCTGAGCTCGGAGAAGGAAGAGATAAGAGGGCCCTATGGAGAATGTGGTCAGAAATCCATAATAGAGTCCGACCACAACGACATTATATACATAGGAAATCAGTCCATCCCATCCATAATATATAACAGACAGACACGAGGAACAGAGAAAGAATAAAATGTCTAGCACAGCTGGGAAGGTCATTCGCTGCAGAGGTAACTATTGGTACAGTTGGGTAAATTTTTTCTGATCTGGGTTGGACCAATTTGATGCCATGTCTATTTGGTTTTGGTTTTTAAGTCTTATCCATGAATAATTTGATCTAACTTAACCATCAAAATCAATTTACTATTGATAAAGAGATCCTCAAGGCCCATTTGTATACAAATTTGAGAGGTCATGATAGGCCGTGGATATTTAATAATAAAATAGGAAAATCTGTGTTTGAATGTATGGTACAATATGAATGATTTTGAAAAGAATTTTAGTGTCTTTTGAATGAGTCTATTTGATATCGTCAAATAAATTTATTGAAATCTATCATATTTTATATAATAGACTATAATACTTCAGAAACGTTAATGGGTAAAAAAATATACCAAAGTGTGAAATATCATATTAAAACATTCAACTCAAAATCAATTCATATTGAAACATTCAACTCAAAATCAATTGGTAATAGGCGAAAAACATCAATTTTCAGTATTGTGTTACTTTGTGTTTGTGTCTGATCATCTCCATCTCGAGACTGCAGTTCTTTGGTTTTTTTTTTCTTGGTTAAAAAATGGGTGGGGGCAAGAAAGAGTGTCCAGTGACCACTTTGTTAGGCTCTCACTGATGGAATCATAAAGTCCATAACTGCGCCCGGAACACCTTTCAGAACTAGACCTAGCTAACTAGCATAACGACCAACCACCGAGTCCTAATGGGGACTCTAAGACTCGAACTCTCAACCTCTGGGTGAAGAGTAAGGTCGGTACCACCACTAGACTACCCTACTTGGTCTACAATTCTTTGATTAGTTGCAGTCTAGGTGTTCTCATTCTGATTCTCCATTCAATGGGTAAAAACTAGGGGTATCCATGGGCCGGGTTACCAACGGGTCTCGTTATCCGGCCCGAAAAAAGTAGGTCCGAAGCCCGATAATTGGCCCGCGCCGAGCCTGAGTCCGAGTTCAATATCCTTAAAAAGAGGGATTTGGGTTTGCCCCCAAACCCATTACCCAGCCCAAGAGCCGCCCTCAAGCCCAGCCCACCTACCTTTCATTTGAAAAAAAAGTTATATTTTTATACCATTAAATTTAAAACTTTGAAATAAGTCTCTCAATATCAAAATTTGAAGTTTTAAAAATTTAGATATTATAAATAATATATTATTTTCTTTTCCATGTATTAAGCATATAATGTTTAAATGGTAGAGTAATGCAAATGATAGATAAGTTAGTAGGTGTCAACCTAATTGAAATTTATTCATTCTATTGGATGTTGTTTATTATTTTATTTTTATCCATTTTGACTTTACTTTTAATTCAAAATATAATTTACAAAAATATTAAGTTATAAAAATATTCATTATTTTTAAATAAAGATGTATATAAAAAAGCCCGCAAGCAGGCCCGCCCAATAGGCTCACGGGGTTGGGCTGCGAGTAGCCTACTCCTACCCGAGCCCGGCCCGAAAAAAAATTTTGCGGCCCTAGCTTGGCCCAGCCTATGGACACCCTAGGTAAAACACAATAATAGTTATTAAATATGACTTCTGTATCAATTTAGTTTCTAATCTTTTAATTATGTTAATTTGATCTCTACAGTATTTAATTTATATCATTTTGATCCAATAAAAAAATTATAGTTTAAATTGATTAATAAAGATGTTCACG